GCTGGTTTAAAGTCCTCTATTTTGTAGGACGTTTTAAACAATTTCACGAACGTTTTTAAGATGTTTCCACTACTTGAGAACTTATTCATATTCTTATAAAATCTTTCAAGGCACTTTAAAGGTCCTATCTAATCTTTGGTGGAACAGTAGATCGATGTTTAAACCTTCTTTTGACCCCGCGAACCAAAGAGAAGACACGGGCTTTGATTGTTCAACGAAATAGTTTATTTTAGTCTACATATTAACGTTTTCGATCATTAAGTATCAGCTGTCTTGCAAACGCCCTTAACAGCACTATGAAATTATGCGAACATTTTCTTTTACAATTTCGAAAAAATGGACACGGGTATCCAGTCATAAAACGTTGTTAAGGCATGCTGGCTTATTTTTGCTGGTTCCCAGACTTGCCTATAAATTCGAAGTATTACCCCCCGGCTGTTAATTAGAGGACCATATGCTGTCACAGGTCAGCTACAGACACCGATTTAAAAACCTTGAATTTTAATTTGCGAGACAATAGAACAGAATTTGCAGTTTTGAAACTTAAACAATGGATATCTTAATTGTGATTTTAGTGACTCTGTTAATTGAATCACTAAGAAATCGCCGGTGTCAAATATGAAGATCAAAGGTAAATGTCATAATTGGAATTGCTTCTTTGACTTTTCGCTCTCAAAAGAAACCCTAGTGGAACAGATCGCAAGTTTCCTAAAACAATCAACTGGATTTCGCAGTATTATAATATCAGTATTACTCTTCAAGCTGTGTTTTGCTAACAGTAATTGATTTAGACATGTTTTTCCATGGTGGCGCAGAGCCCAACTAGAAAAACTTGTTCTATTGTCCTTCAGGAGACAAAAGCGAAGACGGAAGGTACTTCATGCAGCTATTGAATTTTTTTTTACGACCATTTTTCTGTTCCAATACATGGGAATATATCTAGCCGATTCGTTTAAAAAGAACCTAGCGAAAAAAAGGGAGGAATTTTTGCGTTTGAGATGCGAACGAAAAGGAAAGGAGAAAAACAAAGGGCGAGGAGGAAGAACGAGGAGAAGAGAAAGAAATCAATGGTTGCACTCTCAGTCTTTATATTGGCTACTTTGGCTTGACAGAAGAGGTCTCTTTGGCGGAACGTTTTCAAGAATCGGCTAGATTTAGAATAAGTGGTCATTTCTTTACTAAAAAAGCTGACTAAATCTAAAGGAGGTTCTAGAAAAATCACGTCACGGTATTTCGGGTCAAACAATTTCGTGAACACGCGAGAAACAAAGAAAGCATCTCAGGTTCGTAACTTTATAAAATTTTTTGTGACTATTGTCATACGAGGTCATACGCCTTCTAGATTTCTTAACAAATACGTTTTGAGCCCTTTCAACAACTGACGAGTTTTGACAACTTCAATGATCATTGAACCGCGCAAGGCGTGAAATGTCCGTTGAAGTGAAAATGTGAACGATGACTAAATATTAGATCCGGCACTCCATACATTCTCATGTCTTCCCTATAGCATGTATAAATAAAAATTTGAATTGGCTAAAAAGCATGGTGTTTATTAAGACAAACCTTAAACACGAAATTCCTTATTGTTTTGGAGGTATATTTCGCATCTGGTACAATCAGTGGTGTTGTCACGGTAGTTGATTAGAAGGCTCCGCCCAACGCCCCGTTTTTATATATGAAGAAAAGTTGCCACTAGGCCACCCTCCTAGCCGGGCTAACTTTTCTCCATGGCTCGCCCACCCAGGCTAACTGGGTCAAGGTGAGACAATCAGGGCATGCGCGAGAATTGTGTTTAGACAATCAGTGCATGCGCGAGCACTATTGGCTCGGGCAAAGGGTTCGACTTCTTTCACAATTTTCCACTTCTAAAGCGTGCGCGACTCAGGCGACTGGCGCTCGGGAGCTGATTTGATCAGGGAATAAGCCGCATACGCCGCATATCAAAAAGAAGACACCGCAAATGCGCAAATCGGTAAATAACATTCATCTTTACGTGGAAAGTTGTGTACAGTGACCTATTCTATCTTTCGTATCATTTAGCTCCCTCTCGAGTTCTATGAAATATCATCCAACCTCTGTTAATAAACATATCCCTCGTTAACAAACACCAAAATGAGGAGGCGAGACATTTCAGGATTGAACTTTGTTGCCAAAAAAAAAAATAGTCGGTAAAAATTTCCCCCTCCCCCCCCCAAAAAAGAAACCCTCGGCGACAACAGTAGCACAGATGAGGACTAAAATGGCCATTAAGAAATAGTTCCCTTAACTTTATAATTACCCCGAACAAATATAATCATCATCATCATCATAAATGATTTGTAACAAGTGAATGGTATAAAAAGACGGGCGTAGTTCTGTGGTATTGCCATAACCTTAGGGTTTCCTCACATTTTTTTACGATTGCTAACACAAATTTATGCAAGATATGCCACCTTCCACCTAAGGAGGATATGAGAATTTTGTCGATAATTGTAGGATTTTAAAGCGAACTCTCCCCGAGTTAAAATGATTATCAAAGGGGCTATAGATATTTAACAATTATTCCTCGAGCCCGAATGGGCTCTGAGTCAATAGCCCATGAGGCCGATATTTTTGACCAACTAGTTGGTCAAAAATATTGAGACAAAACAACTTTAGCTAGTTAAAGCTAGACTTTAATCCTTTTTTGCCGCCAAAAAGCCGGCGCTTTTCGCTACTAGTGGGCTATAACATATAGCCTAGTAGTAGCTCAACCAATCAGAATGCAGCATTGATAATAGACCACTAGCTGGATTTTACTAAAACTCTATATTTCTAACACCTCCCTTTGCCCGCCCCCAGCGCACCACAGAACACTAAAGACTACAAGAGAACGATTCGTCGTCAAGAAAGAGAAGGAAGTCCCAAATGCTACTACTGTGATACGGACGAAAATATTACGGTAGAACATTTCCTGCTCTCGTGTTCCAAGTACGAGGAGATTCGTTCAGAACTTCTTAGTCAACTGCGAGGTGAACTAGAGGCCATCGGCGAACGTGGATTCCAGGTATGAGTAATATGCAGTCGTTGCTCTCCTCGCGACCACTCGTCTAAGTAACAGGCGTGCGCGGAGAGTAAAGTGTTTTGTTAAGGCAACCGTCATAATTCACTCACTTTGACTTTTGGAGAAATCCTCCATTTTTATTGAGAACGTTCTATCTGGGGCTGACGTTCTCGCCTCTCGCGTCGTTGCCGATCGCCTGTTAGGCGTGTCACTTCACAAACCTTGACGAAAAATGAGACATGTGAGAAAAAAATAGGCCGTGAAAAAGGAGGACTTCTTTTGCGACCCACTCGGCGAAACGCTGTAGATGCAATGGTCGCTCGTGCTCAGAGCTGACCCGGCTCCGCACTTTGGATAATCTAAAGGAAACTTTTTGTCAACAACGAGGATATTTATTTGTATAATCATAAAAGTATAAAGCATTGCAAAAGCATGCACCTTAACAAGAAATAAAAATTACATTATTAAGTATAAAGAAAGATATTGCCCATCATGGTATGTATCCCTCAAGTTCAGTCTTCAAAACTTGGTTTTCGTGTGTGGAATTTGTTAAGCCGCGTAAGTATTAACATACCAACGTTCTTTCATGTCCATTTTGGGCTCAACATAAGATCTGTGAAATTATAATTGCAGGTTTGGCAGAGGTTTTCAGCTAGCAGTCCATCTTGTCAATCACAGATTATACTGGGAGCACAAAGTTTTGGCGCCTTAGAAGACGAAGCAATTAGTCACTTTCGCGCACAATATGCCGCCAGGGCCTGGAGCGAGCGAATTGTGATCTAAAGACTTCTCAATGATCATCTAACCTCGTGGCCAGTTCTCTTACCCAGGTGGAGACAAGTCTGCTGCTTTAAGGGTGACTTTAAAAAAGAAAATAAGCTGATACTAAACGTAGGGAAATTGAATGAAAAGATAGTAATATTATCATCGTGATTGGTAAAAGCACATCACCATGGTTGTTCTGTCATCTATAATTCACAAAGATAGAGTTCAGCGTTCCCATGCTAGTTCTATACGATAACGACACACTAGAACTTGAATCAAGAACAATTTTTTTTAATTTCAATGCAACAAATTACGCAAGGGAATACAAATAATTTTGTGAAAATACATATATTTTCTAAACAAATTATAATAAAACAATCTCACATAACATGCTATAACTTGTTCTTCATCTTGTTAGTTTTCGTTACTTTTAGTCTTTTGTCAAGAAGCTTCTCTGGAAACAAAATTCAGTCTAAATGAAGTGCTTTGCTTCAGAGGCTGAAAATTAGTAGGAAACTTGTGTGGGATCAATTATAATGTTATTATACCTGAGTACCTCAAGCCGATAATCGCCAGGTTGGGGGCACTCCCATATAAAAGTGACGAGGATGCTCGTCGGAGAATTCAAATTAAACCCCTAAGGGAGACCAATGTAGGTGTGGCTCAAGCTTAAAATGACCCCTAAGAGAGATTTCTGTGTGGTCAGTGTTAGGGAATGTTTTGTAAATTTCTTTATGTACAGTACTAAGCGATACCTGAATGGGCAAATAGTGATTATCCATCCCAAACACCATAAGTGAGACCAAAATCTGCAATTTACTACCCAAAGCCTAGACGAGCAACCTCGTCACTTTTATATGGGAGTACCCCCCGCGGATAATCTGTGACCAGCTCTCTTGAGTCAGGCATAGGAGGAAGAAAAGCGAAAAAGTACTTAAATAACAAGAACTATCAACTTACGAGAGTCCTGCCGATGAAGCGGTAAACTTCACAAATTATCATGATTCATCAAACATATCAAGATGAAATTGTTGTAACATGTTTCATCTCATTTTGAATACAAAGAGCTATCTAAAAAATCGAACGAAAAACACTTGTCCTGAGTTCACGTGGAAATCCTCTGCAATAGGCCCCTCGCCTTTCGTCGTTACTGGGCATGCAGCCTTTCCGTTAACACGTAAGGCCGCTTTATTATTTTTGTCTTATTTCATCATTATGTATTTAGTTTGGCGAATTCGGAACTCAATGCCCTCATGACATCCTGGTGAGAGAAGGCTTCATTGCCTTTCTTGATGCGCGCGAAGTTCTCCTTTACGAACAGAGCGAAGCGGCTCGGTGTGCGAGTCTGAGGTGTGCCGTCCTTCTTTACCTGAGGAACGAGTTCTAAGCGGCTGGAAAAAAAGAGAAAACGAACGAAAACAGTAAGCGCAATAACGCGAAGTGGCAAAAGAAAAGACTTTCAAGGGGTCTCAGAAAGTGTATACGAATACGAGAAGGGCCATTATATACTTGCTTCACGAATATCTTTTCCCGATTTTCATGCTTCGAAAGGCTTCCTCAACCAATAGTAGTGGGAGACCTGTATGCTCATGTATCAAAGTCGTTTTTCAACGGCTAAGCGTCATTTGGTTACGAAGACCGTGGTTCCACTGGGTCTTCTATTTAGGTTAGGTTAAATTCAATTTTTCCGTCTAAGTTCGTTCTAACAATATGAATCGGTAGTTCTCGTTGTGTAAATTTATCCTGAAAAGTACTGAGATTCTCCCCTTATTTTTTTCGGTTACGTTGACATATCTGGTTAGATTTAATGTATAAATGGATGGATAAATTAGAAGATCTTGTAGCAGACTAAAGCAAATTTTTGAGTTGAAATCTCATGATGTCTTTATGGAAGTGACTAAAATAAGCATGGACGTACCCGTGACAATACGCGCATCTGCTTTTCTCTAAGTTCACGGATTTGGAGTGTCGACCAAACCTGATCAACAAAAACAAAAGATGATGGTTTAGTTCTTGCTACATCTTGATGCTATAAAATCCCTTTCAGCAAGGGATCTCGGCAAGAATATCTGCAAAAAGGAGCGTTTCTGTTTGCGTAGAAGCATTTGGAATATCGTTAATACAAAGAACAAAGTAAAGAGGAGCCTAAGATAGAACCTTGCGGAACACCACATTTAAATTGCTGAGTCGAGGAGCGAGTTTCTTTAAACCGGACAAAAGTAAAAGCAAACTACGGGATCAATCAGCTGAACAAAAACTAGACACATGGCTAATTTTCCCTCTCATATAGACAATGGAAGCCTGTAACTTGGAGTGTGCACTTCTTTAGTTACTAAGCCTATTTCACGGCGTTCACAAAGACCATCTTGTGAGTGCTTTTTCGCGCAAAAATAAAATGTACTAGCAATGGTTTGTACCAAAAATTGTTCCTTAGCCTATGGAACTTATGTAGTGTTCTAAAACCAAGCGGCAAAATGAGTCTAAAATGAACAGGTTTATTAAAACACCATGGCACAAAATGAACGATTGTTTGACCCTGTAAATATGTAAATGCAGTAACTGTCCATGAATCCCTAAACTGCAGGCAATTCCACAATAGCTACCAACAATGTGAGCAGTTATTGACAGGGCGTGACCAAGAAAACAACGCAAAACAAAATAAATGAGCTTAACAATGCAAAATAAAACTGTTAACAGGGAGCTACTTCGCAAGACAATCTGCTCTGTAAGTGCTTTTACAAGGGGAGTATTGACCATTTTTCAAGGTTCCTACCAGATTGGGTCGGTGTCGTATATAACTGCATTATGGAACTGTTTTGAGGGGACGAATTTTGACCCTGTACCCTGCGAAACCTAATAATGGGCAATAAAATGAGCAATCATAACGTCCTGGACACACCCAGTCCGGCACGTAATGCACCACTCACTGTGAATTTCCTCCCAACCCCACCACACCCCCAACCCGGCAAAGGCGGGGACTTGGAGAAATAGCCTAGAGAAAGTGAGTGAATGTTCCTGCCCCGGGGAAATATTTCCGTGCTTATGTCTTCGCTTGTTCCCGCCTATCGGGGAAATGGGGGACTGCAAGGGGTCACAGGCTACACATCTTCACTGGCGTGAAACCTTGAAAACCTTTTACATAACGCCAACGCTCTAAAGGGAAGACCTCTTCCAGGGATTTAACCTTCAAATGACCAATTATGGGAAGAATTGGACAAGTTGAATACTTACGTATTTGAGCATTTGGTACATCTGTAAGTGTACTTGGTATTAATTGTGTAGCTATGACAACGAGATATAGGCGGCAGGTCTTGATGAACAAAATTAGCTCTTGTTGTCCTACAAATGTAACGAAAGGAAATTGAAAGGCTTTATTTAAGGCATTATTAATTACATCTAAGATAAAGGAGAGGGAGAAGTGAGGTCAAAGGTCATCAGTCTGTATCCGGCCGGTCAGAATGGCCAAAAGCTCCACTTGCTGGTCACGTTGACCTGTTACGCAGACTCTTATTCTTGAACAAACAGCCAGGTCCTCACCTGTTGATCTTAGATTTTCTCTCTTTATAAAAGTACTCTCACGTTCACAAATAGAAAGTTACGCAAGGATTAGTTGGGGACTTTTTCCAATTTTTCGTCCGGTCAGAAAAGGAGACTTGACCGAGCAAAACTTTCTTTGGCCGGTCAACAGTGCTTTTTCACACACACTTACACAAAAAGTTAATAAACCGACTTTAGAAACTCACCATTTTTTCCAGACAGGGCCGTGACCAGCTTTCACGCCACTGATAATCCAAGAAGCAGCGTGACACATCTCATGTATTAGCGTATCACGCAAGCGATCTGAAAGAAATGAAAACCAAAAAAGTATCATGGATCAATCAATTCCAAGCCTGATCATCTCCCGCTTCCCGGACATTTGTCGATTTTTATGGGCTGCGGTACTGTGACACGGTAAAAAAAATTATTACCGTGGGCTTGGAAAGTAGGCAAGGGGGCGGAGGGCACAGATAATTTCATTCTGTCCAACAGAAAATGAAAAACTATCGGTCAAATATTTATCTAGATATTAAAGACCTTAAGATCTGACAACGGCGACGCCCTATGAAACGTCGCTGAAAAATAGACTGCTTGTCCTTTGAAACGTTTTTGCTCTTATACCAAGTCACCCAATTACTTGAAAGTAGCGAAGTTTGGTTGCAACTGGAGAGAGGGGACTGCGTCCGAGTTCAGGGGGAGATGGTAAAATTTATCGCCTTGCCGTTCCAGTTTTTAAATCAACTCAAAATTTGGTCATTTCACGTCGTAGTTGTGAAGGGACGGCAAAGAAATGTACAAAGAAGCGTGATGCACGTGCAGAGTTGTTGTTTTGCTCATAAAGCCAATTGCGTTTTAGGCGTTCCCGTTAACGTCGAAGTCGTAGTTTCGTTGAGTCCCTCGGGATTCACGACTGACGATTCCTTTCATCTTAAATCGTAACACACCCACCCACCCTGAACCCTAAACAATATCTTAATACTGAATGAGACCTGAAAATACAAATGCTTCAGGTGTCAGTTTCTTACAAAACTGAAATGTTGAGTCGACAGGGCACGGAAGTGGCATTTCTAATGTACCGTAGATGGCTGAAACCGACGTACCTGCCGAGTCAATAACTTTGTCTGCCAGCTCAATCCTAGACATGCGAAGACCATTCTTCCTGAAGAAATAACACAGACTTAAGAAAATACTTGGACATTTTTGGCTGAGCAGAACTTCCAAATAAACAAAAAAGGGACAAAATAGATGGAGAGGAGAACTGGAACTGGAATAAGAACTGGAAACTCTTTCTTGCACGTTGATAATTTAGTTCTCAAAATAATGTTGTTGTTTTTAAGAATTCACGGTCACGTTCTTTATTTCATAAAAAAACCCCACTAGTTTAAAAAATTCTGCGTATGGCTTAAAAAAAAAACATGGTTTGCACCTGCCGTTTAAATAAGAAAACAACAGCTCTTAGCGTTCCATAGCGTTGTTAAGAATGGTTCATATAGAACCTAAAAGTTTACCTGCTGTAGTAGCAGAACCCAGCAGTGCTACGCATTTTCTTATTCCACGTGATCTGAAAATCTGATGACAGCTGTAGAAAAGTGAAAAAAGAACTTTTAGGACAATCGTCAAAAATGTTGGAAAGGCTACTTCTTTTTACCGTTTTTTGCCCTTCTTTAAATTGCCCCCCTCCCCCTGGCGTAATATTGAAAAAAAATTTAAGTGTTTGTGGCGGACGGGGAGTATTTAGCCAAAGGGAACATCATCTGAATAGGGGGTGGAGTGGGGTGGGGTGGGGTGGGGGGGGTACTTATTTTCAGACATGATCCAAAAAAATATCTCTATCGTCACGGAGAGCAACTTTCAAAGATCTTGCACTCAAAACCACCTTTATACCTTTAGTTGATTCGTTTCGTGAAATCGCCAAAGCTTTTTTTGTCTGACAAGTGATTCTTGTGCAAAACTTGAAATAACGTAACCAGTTTCCAATAACAAGCAATAAGCTACTGCTAGGGAGGGCAAATAAATATATACATGTGCAGTTGAAGATATCAATGATTACATCGCTTCCCGTACATGGTTAAATTAGTAAGTAATACCTGATTATCAAACACCGTAGTGTTGTACATCTCAAACAGATCTTTAGCAAGTCGCTCTCTGTTCGTCTTAAAATTCTTCTCGCTGGAGTAAGGTGTGAGTAGATCTTCCAAAACACTTTTAGGACGAGAACGACTGGTTGACGAAAATCCTGTGATTTTAAAAAGTATTAAAGGCAAGAAATCAAACTAAAGAACAGAATTGGAAGCAAACGACAACAAAAAAGTGAGCTGTTTCTACCAGTATTGGCCTTTTTAGGTTTAGTGGATTTTGGCGTTTTCCAAGAGAAATTAGTGGAGGGGGTCTTGAACGGAGTGTAACTTGTGACTGCAAAACAAGAACACAGAAAACACAGTTTGCCTCACATGCTGATAAAGATCGAATAACTCAACCAACAAAAAGCTTTATAATCAAGATTTCCTATTAAAGAAACTAGGGCGACACTATGGCTCTAGAAATTTACAACTTGAAATTTGGTGGAAGTCGCAAGTAAAAAAAAAAACGCAAAATTTTCATGAAAAATAACTTTCGCAAATCTAGAAATTTAAATCTATAGAGACTCTCCTGAAATTCGCTAAGATGAAAGACTGGACTTGCTTGTTGGAGTGTTATCCCCGTAAAAAAATATCCTTTAATACTAGTTAGACCATTTTTTTTTCATGTCCACCATTTAACCAAAAAAGTAGGGCTATCCAGGAACTTTGTTAACAAGTCAAGAACTAAATTCGCTATCCTTTCTACCGATTTTGTTCTTTTCAAGAACGGTAGCCTACCTGGCGTTGCAATTTCGATGCAATCATCATTTTCTTTATCTGAAACAAAATCAAATTCCTCTTGGTAACCGGGATCCTCAAAGACCTCTTCTTCTAGATCTTCATCATCGTCATCGACGATGAATTCCTCTAAACTATACAAGGGAAGGGTAAAAAAAAGATCACAATCAAGCTTAGCTAGCCACCACCCCCTGGGTACTCCTGGGAACCGTTGGTAGGGGTGTTGTGCAGCCGGCCCCCGGTTCTCCAAGTCCGACCCTATTTCAGACCCAAAAATGTCAATTCCGACCTGGTTTCTAAAATCCATTTCCGTTTTCAGACTTGACATAGGCAGAAATAATGTCATCATTACTTAGATCAGTAGAGCGCCGACAAAAAGATGTCTTAAAATCCATTTCGACTTCGCACATTACTCTTTCTTTCTTATTCATTTGGAATTGAAACGACAAATACGTTCATACACTCTCGTAGTTCCCTCGAAAGCTAGACCAATTCCAGACCAAAATGGGGAAAGTCTATACCTGTTTTCAGATCAAAAAATGGCGCAAAAACCTACCCTGTAGGGCGGCACATACCTATATGGCTTATATAAGGAAGTACTTAGCCCCCATCAGGTTTTTCCTAGGCAGAGGGAAAGAGGGGAAAAAAGATGGAAATTCAGGAGAAATAGGAAGGGGAGAATGGTGTTTTGAAATAAGTGTTGGGTGCCAATTGTGGTAATCAAGGCGTGGCGTGAGATTTTGAAGGTGTACGCATGGAAAGAAAAGTTAGAGCTACGAAGGCACTCCAAACTAGGGGGTTCTGGGGGCATTCTTCCCCAGAAAATTTTTAAATTTAGGGTATCAGAAGAGCCATTTCCTGAGTTTTCCGTAGGACATTTTCAGTAAATAAAAAGTGTTATCGGTAAGGTACAGTTTTTACGGAAAAGACGGTAAAACAGTGACGTTGTTGAGGAGGTTACAAGCAAAGGGGGAGACGTCTACCCTTCACAAAGACACGAATATCATGCGAAAAATTTATCAGTCATTCCAAGTTTATGATAAAAATTGCTTTCAGAAAAAAGTATAATATAAATTATATATATTTTTCAGATTTCAGCTGTGGTTATGGTACTAGGAAAGGAATCAATGATTGGAAAAAACAATCTAAGAAAAATAAAGACTTTTCTGATTAAGATAAATCAGCTGAACTGGAATTTGTGTCATCTTTTGTCTTGTTTAAGAAGATCAGCTATCTTGTCCATCAATCACCCCTTTAGCCCTTTTTTTATAAATTAAAAGTAAAAAAAAATACCTTTTTGAATCTGCTCTTTTCTCCTCCTCAGAAAAACTGGGTCTTTTAGGTGTTTTCATTTTCTGCAAAACTAAATACAAGTGATTAGAAATTTCGAGGAAGAACTCTTTATCTTAAGGTTCCCTTTATGGATAAATCATAAAGACTTTGAGGCTAGATTTGAAACAGTTACTGTTGACAAATTGATTTCTGACTCAGTGCTGTAAAAACCCGCGACTATTAAAAAGAACCTCCATTTTCCCAAGTTAGCCTAAACAGTCAGGTTCTTACACAAATGGTAATTAGCACAAATTTAGGCTTTATTTAGGTTATTAAACAGGATATTTTTTTCTGAAGAAAAAAATTAATAAATTGTAGCCTAAAAATATTTAGTGGTTTTCAGCTCATTTCTTATGTAAAAACTGCATACCATTACATTGCAGTTGGAGAGATGTCTCCAAAGTCCAAAAGGATCCTGAATGTTGATGTATCTTACTTTCCCATATTGTACAGTCAGTATTTTTTTAGAAACAGAAAATAAGACCTTGTTTCAAATTTTAGGCTAAATAGGGCCTTGTGTAAGGAGAGTCTAACTGGCGAAGTGTAGCCTCAAAACCTGGTTCTTGGTCACGGGTTTTTACTACCCTAAGTCAAGACATACATACCCAGCAACAAAGGTGTACCATGAAAGCCACATTAAACCTGAGGGCGAGGGGTGAAACCGGGAACTGACTACATGCAGTTGGAAAAAAATTACACAAGTGAAATTCACTTACACATCTCAAAATCATCACTTTCACTTTTCTCTGGGTTGTACTTCTTGAACAGTCTTTCACTTAAACTACAGATAAGAATTTTCAAAAAGTGAAGGAATAAATAATAATAAATTATTAAGTACTCTTTTAGATACAATACAGGTACTTGCTATTAAAATAATTTATCTTAAAGTGTAGTTGTAGCTTTGATTATATTTGACTGCAGCAGGATTAGCTCAGTTGGCAGAGCACTCGACTGCAGAGTGGGAGGTCACAGTACAATACTCAATACTCAGGGTCTTAAAAAATAACTGAGAAATAAAGGCATTACCTTAAAATAATGGTCCTGTTTCCAGTGGGAGATGTAAACTACACTGTAGTATCCTCTATTAGTACTTTTGTGTTAACTACATTCATTTGACACTTGTAGAATCACACACAGGGCTGCAAATAATTTTTTTTTCTCTTGAAAGGAAATATGTCCTACTAAGATACCATCTTGGTCAGACAAAACCAAATTTTGGTCGGAGATCACCAAAAAAAAAAAGATTGAACTTTATATCGGGTAGAACAGAGGAGGTAGTACGCTAAGGCAAAAGAAAACTTCATTATCAAAGTCAATGTTGTTTCATTACTTTGAGATCATCCTAAGACGAAGTAAGATATACTCAAGGTAGATTTTATTTCTCCTAACTGTAAAATGATTTACGATAAAAAATTCTCCACACATAATCTCTGAACACACGTTGGATTTTGTCGGACACTAGCAAATCTTGGCTGGCCAATGACTGATGACCGACTGTTATCTGCAGCCCTGACACACATTTTGTATAGAATCACAAAAAATAATAATAATAATAAATAAAAAATACAAGGCTACGCAACAAAGCCTTAGCCTCCATGCACATGTCTTTAAAATAAACAATGCCTATAAAGGCTACAATTTCCAGTAATTTGACAATTATGGGTTCTCAGTTTTTATCAATTTACAGGACAAAGGAAATGGTAGAGGAGAGTTTTTGTTTAACCTGGTTGAAGGTTTCATTATTACTAACCTGAGAGGTAAATTAGGGCTATCAGAAACACTGTTATCATCATTATTGCTGCCATCAGTCATGCTGTGGAAAAAATGTGTTGAAAAATTGACAAAATAAGATTCAAAACAATTTTTTGTGCCCTGAATTATTATAATTATTATTTTTTTTAAAAAAGGAAGAACAACAGGAGCTTAAAATAACTCAGGTTGCTGAATCAGACTAAATGTTTAAATATTGGCATTTTTATAACACCACCCTAACTATAGTTGCTGGAAAGAATGATGTTGCTAAAAGAATTTTATTCTCTTACCTAGATACTGGCCTTGAAAATAGTTCTGCTGTTGATGAGTCACTGCAATCATCTATGTTAATGGACTTGACCAATGAGGAGGTCTCAATGTCTTTTTCATCTTTCTCATCCCTTTGCTTAATACCTACCTGTATTCCTTCATAGTTACTGTTGTTACCACCTCCATAATCAAAAGCTATATTATCACTGCTGTGATCTTCACTGTAACTGTGGACTGCCAGTTCTTTAAATGGGGATTCATTATGGAAAACTGTTTCATTTGTGGTTTCTTTATTAAGATGTTCTGCATTGCCTGCTTCATAATTGTGTACCGTGAAGCTACGTCCATCTGTGTTGTGCACTGCTTCAAACTCCACTGCTGGATTACAATCATCTGTTTCTCCTTTGTCATTAGCAACATGTTGGATGCCACACTCACCAAAAGAAAGGTATCCTTGATTTAATTCACATGACTTTGCCATAGAGTCAGACTCATCAACATCATCATTGGCAAAATTATCTCCACTTTCATTGCTGCCATCGATAAATCCACCATCATCACTACCACTTCCAGCACTGTTATCAGTATTGACACTATCATCGTCATCATCATCATCAACATCATTTTCAGTATCACCACTTTCACCGGTATTGTTAAAATTATCAGTGACTTCATTAATGTTAACAACATCATTGCTCCCATTATTGGCAAAACTACCACTACCATTACTGCTACGGCTATCAACACTATCACTGCTGGCATCAACATTAAGTTCACTACCTTCATTACTGTCATCAACATCAGTGCCATCATCATCATCAGGAATGACCACAACATCATTGCTAGAAGAGTGCTTACTTTCTTCATCAACGTCTTTTTCTTCTTTGTCGTCAGCTAAGTCCATTTCTGTTTTATTATTTTTATCAGGAACTCCCTTAATCTGTTTGATTTCTCTACGAAGCTGAGAAAAGACAAAACAATGATAATGCAGGCTTTGCCACAAGCAAGAATTTCCCAAATTTTCAAGAAACTTTATATTTTAGCGTTGACGTTTGTTACATACCGCCTCAATTTTCTTTGCCAGAGACACATCAAACCAGCCAAACTTTCTTCCCATCATGAGAAACTTTTCCCTGACCGGATCGCCGTCAAAAGAATCCATTATTTCAAGAAAACAACTTTGCTACATTCGAACAAAATGAAATCGATCAAACAACGAACCAAATTTCCGCGCTGAATGAGCCAGAAAGGCGAGGCTACTCAATGTGCCGATCTGATTGGCTTGTTTATATGAGCTTTCACCAATCAAAATCCCATGAGTAGCCAGGCTGTTTTTACTCCTGAAGGGGTAGGTTTGGTACTATTTGTAGAAGTTATGGCAGAACTTGCGGCGAGTCATGTTTATGTCCCCTTTTCTCGTGGCATTCCATTTCTGAGTGGTAATCTTTTAGCTACCTTTGGCTGCAAAAAGTGGACTTCGACACGTACAGTGTTACTTCTTCGTCATGTCTGTCAATCAGCGATTGTAAATGATACTTCTCTGTTCGAACGAAAACAAGCAAATGACAAGCATTATGCGCTCAACTCTTTCTCAAATTTTCGAAGATCGCGATGTACATTTCCTGCAAATACAGGCATCAGGAGAAAAGATAATAACTCAACGAGTTTAAGACTGTATTCTGGATTTCACCGGGGAGATGTCAACAAACCAAAACGGGAATATCTCTATTCTCGACGGCATTTTAACACGGCATCAATGGTGGAAGCTTGCCCTCCGGCGGTGCAGCCATATTTGCGCTTGATTCGTTTTGATAAACCGATAGGAACATGGTTGTTGTATTTACCATGCACATGGAGCATAGGACTTGCGGCTTCTCCAGGCTCCTTACCAGATCTCCAGTTGTTAGCTCTGTTTGGACTAGGGGCCCTGGTGATGAGAGGGGCGGGGTGCACTATTAATGACATGTGGGATGTGGACTTTGACAAGAAGGTAAATACCATTACTGTATGGGGATAGTGACGTGACTAGGAGAGGGATTCTACTTGGGGAACTACTGAGACATCTGTTGATTTCAGCTGTTCCTAATCCTCCTTGGGCAGTATGCATTAACACAGCTGCAGAGTAATTGAGGGCTTTTGATAGCATGAGAAAACAGCTGACATTTCGTGATGCCACCACT